CCGTGGTATCTTTTTAGCAGTTTTAAGACCATTTATTTTTGTAAACTTTCAGACGTTTTTGTTTGATGTGGTAGACCTTGAAGCAGTTTCTCTCCAGCTGCAGGCAGAGTCCTGCACACCTCACACTGCCATGGGGTGCTTCTCTTGCACACCGTGCACTGCTATACGAAAAACTTTTGTTTTAGCAAATATAATTATTTATTGTAAAAAGATAAATAATGCTGGAATGAAGCTGAATCTTACAATTAGCAAATAGTTGAGGGTTGTTCAAATAAAAAATAAAGACTGAACAAACGTTCATACCATGGTTCACCGGAGATCTGTCCTTCTCCGTGGTCACTGACTTCAGATATAAGCCTTCTGGGACACCTAATAGATCGTGTTGATTTTCTTTGAGGCATTTCCATAACTTCATGCTGGTTTTTAGCTTCCCCGTTCCATTATCCGCTTTCACCGTGCTTAGAGCTTAGAGGTTCTGGACCACTTGCTGTAATCATGAATTCTTCTCTCTCCCTGACTATCCCGAAAGACAATGTTTGACCTTTGACCTTAGACAGTAAAACTCGACTATGAATGCTTGATTGCAGTTGTTTCCACCAAGGATGTTCAGGCCAGGTGTTTGTTACTTATAGGGCCAGCTTGGTTCGGGATGTTTTTGTCTCCTCCTGATGATAGTTTGAAAACTGCATTTTGTTATCCCTCTGACTATCTTCGCCTGGTGTTGAAATTTGTTTTCTGATCTGAAACATAGGTATGGAAAAAAAACAGCAAGAAAAGAATAAATCTGTGACGGGGTAAACCCATTTCCACAGCACAGCATGCATCCGTCAGCTGGTTAAATAATAAAATGATTTGTTGTTATGGAGTCCTCTGCCACCAAAAGAAACAATAATGAAACGAGAGTGGCACTATCTTGCCTGTAATGGATTATGTAGGGGAGGGAGGGAGGAGACGGTGGGGGAGGAAGGTCAGGGGCCCGTGCTTTGGTTACAGTCGACAGCACAAACATGGACCTCAGGTAGTGTGCTCATCAGTCCTGCTGTTTCTTACGATATGGAGTCAATGAAGTGACACCACCCTCACACACACACACACACACACACACACACACACACACACACACACACACACACACACACACACGCACACACACACACACACACACCCACACACACACACACACACACACACTCGCCTGAAGACAATTCCATGATAACACAGTAGATAAATGGACAGATGTGTTTTAACATTGTCTAATATTGTCATAGTTACTACGCTGGCGGTAAGATGAATAAACAAATAGACAGACAGGCAGAGAGACAGACAGATAGATAGATAGATAGATAGATAGATAGATAGATAGATAGATAGATGATAGATAGATAGATAGATAGATAGATAGATAGATAGATAGATAGATAGATAGATAGATAGATAGATAGATAGATAGATGGATAGATGGGTAGATGGATAGATGGATAGATGGATAGATGGATAGATGGATAGATGGATAGATAGATAGATAGATGGATAGATAGATAGATAGATGGATAGATAGATAGATAGATAGATAGATGGATAGATAGATAGATAGATAGATAGATAGATAGATAGATAGATAGATAGATAGATAGATAGATAGATAGATAGATAGATAGATAGATAGATAGATAGATAGATAGATAGATAGATAGATAGATAGATAGATAGATAGATAGATAGATAGATAGATAACCACACTGACCCCAAAGTGAAACTGCTGCTCTTATCAAATTAAAACATTTCAGATACCAAAAAATCCCTTTGTGGTGAATGAATCTGAGACATTGCTTTTGTAATTTCTCCATCGTTCCATGTTTAATTGGGTGAAACTATTCCCAGACAAATTGAATTACATGCCCCCCCCCCCCCCCCCACACACACACACACACACACAATTGAGATATCTGTTACAGATGATGTGCCGTATAATGAATGCCTAATTTATGTAATTAGACCATTAAGCATGATCCGAGCATATGTTGTGAATGCCCTGAGGTGTTCTGCCAGGTATCAGTACCCCCCCCCTTCCCCCCTCCCCCCCACGCACACACACACACACACACACACACACACACACACACACACACACATTCACACGCACATGTGTTGTAGCACCACAAATAATGGAGAGAGGCTCTCTGGATGATTACTCCCACTCTTTGATCAAATAGATATTTTTGTATGATCACATATCAGATCATTTTTTATTTTCTTTGGTGAGAATGAAAGTGCGTCTGGATGGCCTTTAAGCAGAGTGAACTTCTCATCAAATGAGCTAAATTTGCTATTGAGGAGTTCTCGGTGAGAGCTCTCTGTCTGCTAATTAATTGTCATTCTGCTGAATATTCATACCTTCTGATCAGCGCGTCCTTAATTGTACCGTAAACTATCTCTGGGGGCTGAAACCACTGCAGACTTAATTAGAGAAGAGGTGGACACCAAACTCCTACCTGTTTTCGGTTACAATTACTGATTTTTAAAACTGGCAATAAATCCATAAGTACGTTCATTTACTCAGCATTGCTTGGACTTCTTTAGCATCATCTGCAAAACAAATAATGATAATAAAAGTGAATTAATATAGAAATATTTTCACATATATTGTCAGATTACTTAAGTTAACCTTTAAAAAGTCTCTCTCTCTCTCTCTCTCTCTCTCTCACACACACACACACACACACACACACACACACACACACACATATATATATATATATATATATATATATATATATATATATATATATATATATATATATATATATATATATATATAACGTGTATTATTTTATTTTTATTATTATTATTATTTTGATTTTTTTCGTTTCCAGATGATTTAGAGAGCAGTAGCAGTTCTTTTCCCTCTCCGTGGGTCTGGGTGGTAGCACATTTCAACTCGTTTCACTGTGTGGCAATATTGTTTGGCTATCATTCGCTGCTTTAGGATGAATGGCATCGATCCTCTTTTAACAACATTTGTTTCCTATTGTGTGGAGGAGGAGGGGGGGACTCCAGTGGAGGGAGGCAGACGTGTGAAAGTGGCTGTTTGATTCTCTTTTTCATCCCCATGACCTCAGCTTTTGTGTCTCGTCACCCTGGGAATGTCACGCCTCACTACTCTACTTTAAGATGTTTCAGAAAAGTGCTCTTTGTTTTCGCTCCTCTTTTTTTTTTACTCACACAAAATTGTTCGTAGGTCTGACCCTCCCTCCCTCCCCCCTACTATAAAGGATACTTCAGACCGGGGCACGGTTCACAAGTGCAATGCAATTTGGCTTAACCCAACCTTTGTTCGGGTTCCTACAAATGACCAAACATAGAGCAGACTTGATCTACTGCTGCTTGAACTCAGGAGTTTGAAGTAGCAAAGAAAAAAAAAATTAAAAACTATTCAGATCCAGAGTCATGGAGATATTTGCCGTGTGTGCAGTCGACAAGGACAAAGTCTGCAGCAAACCTCCGAAAGCAACTAGATTTGCAAGCGAGAGTTGTTTAAAAATGTGAAGACTGGTTTAAAAAAATGCATGCAAATGTGTGCGTAATGCATGCAAAATCTGCGTAAAACCCACGAATATTCGCAGAAAATGTATTTAAATTGATGCGCGTTTAAAATCCAAGTGGGAACGTTTTTTTTAACTAAAATGACTGAGTGAGTGAACAGACTGGGTGTCAGAAGATGTTTGGCTCCTTGCAGATTGTTGTCATTATCCGCGCTGTTTCAGTTGGGGCGACAGAGCCACTTCCTTTTGGACAAAACCTTTTCAGCAGAACATTAATGTGAAATGACAGGTGTTAAAAGCCAGTCTGCACAGAGGAAAAACAGGATTAAACCTGCAGGTGGAAGCTTTAAATTAAACTTTTTTTAAATCAATTTATAAAACAACTAATCTTTTCTGAATTTTTTTCATCTGTTTCAGAAAACGGTTAAACACCTCCTCTGCAGCCTGCGTCTGCGTAAAAAGTAGCTCCCCCGCACAGCGAATCTTGTCGTAATCCATCAGACTGGTGATGGGGTGCACTGTGGGTTCATTGGGGGGGGGGGGGGGGGGGATTAGCATAAATTATGAGTAAATCTGCGTGTGCGTGTGTGTGGTCCCCAGCATTGCGAACCCTCCAAGCGGAAAGGTGGCCCTGGCCAAAAAGAGAGAGAGAGAAAGAAAAAGAAACTTGAATAGCTGAAAATGGGCTCCCCATTTGGGCATCGCATTCAAATAATTGACTTATGGATATTTTATACAGTTTTCGCCACACCATCCTCAACGCTTTATTTGCATTCCTGAAGTACTTTTGGAATCTCTTTACAAAAACACAAAGACGCCGATTGGCCTCATGAAGTTTGAGTTTGAAAAGCGCTGTTTGCTCTGTGTTGATGTTTTCATGCCGTCTACTTCCTTTTCTCAGCGTTGGGGGGCCAACATTATCTGAGAAAAACTAATAGTAGCTTCATCAACACACTTGCCCGCGGCGAATTATTTTTTATGGAGTGTGCATTTCATTAAAAAAATGTGTAATTGGGAAGAGGGAACGCGGAATACGTTTTCTCAGCATTTAATCTGTAAAATCAGCTTTTACGCACGGAGCTATCCTCAAACATCATTTTGGGGGTAATTACGCGCAAACGGAAACAATTCCTGAATTAATTTAAAATATTTAACACGACTGAAATTGTTTTACATGTTCATAGTAATTTTAGGAATAATTTATCCGTTTTAAAGCCTGGGTGTTAAGTCCGCACAAGAGCGCATACCTTCACACACTGAGTGCCATCGCGGTTCAGTTCCGGTTACCGAGCCTTCTCGCTCCCTTTTTCTGTCTTTAAATGGAAATGATTTCCATTGGCCCAGGGTGTCCATGTAAATAGGTGTAAATGAAACTAGATTATGCCTTCCTCCCAGCCCCCTCCTCCTCCCATGGCAATTGTCATGTGATAGCAGAGAGGTGGCACATTAATGGAGCGCCTCTACAGGGGTCTTTTCTGCTCATGTCACTACATAAAACTATCAGATGGTTAGAGGAAGGCCATGGAGGCGTACGCTTTAGCGAGTCTCACCGAGGACGCCGAGTGAAGTCCGTTCAGCAGTAGCGGGACGAGCTGACTTACTTTGCGCGAAGACTCCATAAATGCGCACCGTCCGAGGCGGCGCACAGACCGGCTGCTGCACTCACGGCGCGACTCCAGCGCTGCTAAACAACGCTCCTTCTGCGTAACGCTTTGCGAGGAATTAGAGGAAATTAAAACTGTTCTTTGAATAATATTTTAAAAACTTTGAATCGAGGATGCCTCGCCCCGGGAGAAACACGTACAGCGACCAGAAGCCACCATACTCATACATCTCCCTCACTGCCATGGCGATCCAGAGCTGTCCGGAGAAGATGCTGCCCCTCAGTGAAATCTACAAGTTCATCATGGACAGGTTCCCGTATTACAGGGAAAACACGCAGCGGTGGCAGAACTCTCTGCGCCACAACCTCTCCTTCAACGACTGCTTCATCAAGATCCCGCGGCGCCCGGACCAGCCGGGTAAGGGCAGCTTCTGGGCACTGCACCCCAACTGCGGGGACATGTTCGAGAACGGGAGTTTCTTGAGGCGCCGCAAAAGGTTTAAGGTGCTTGGTGCCTCCGATCACCTGGGCCCTAGCAAGCAGTCGGACGCTGCGCACTACCTCCAGCAGCAAGCCAAGCTGAGGCTGAGCGCACTGGCGGCCACCGGCACGCACCTGCCCCAGATGTCCACGTACAACCTCGGAGTAACCCAGTCATCCACCTTCAAGCATCCGTTCGCCATTGAGAACATCATCGCGCGCGAATACAAAGTCCCTGGAAGTCTGGCGTTCTCCACAATGCAGTCCATGTCGGCCGGGTACCCTCTCCACAACCAGCTCACCACGGCCTGGCCCCACATGTACAACAGCAGCGTCATCGACACGGCGACCCCGATCTCCATGGCCAGCAGCGACTACAGTGCCTACGGCGTGCCCATCAAGTCCCTGTGCCACGGGGGGCAGTCGTTACCGGCCATCCCGGTGCCCATCAAGCCCACCCCAACCTCCATGACGGGCTTTTCGGCGCTACCACCGCACATCCCCGCGTTCCTCTCAAACTCTCCCCAGTCCCTGAGCCCGACCTCCCCACAGACAGCCACGAGCCAAAGCAGCCCCGCGACCCCGAGCGAGACTCTGACGAGCCCCACCACGCTGCAGTCCGTGGCTGTGCACTGACCACCCGAACCGGGCCACCCGCACCCCCAACACCAACTCCTTTCACCAAAACCCAAAGTTTATATTTTCACCCGACGGGAACCATAAGGCGAGTGGCAGATGCATATCGATTTATTTGTGTTTGTGTGTTGAATGTGTCGCTTTAAATGGTGTCAAAAGTCCCAGTCCAGCACAGAGACACACACGTTATTGCTCTTGAACAGATAAATTATTTTTATTTTGACTTTTATTATTGTGATTGACGTGGAACCACTGAACTGGGATAAGATCTGGAGAAGCAGTTTTCCCTTTTTCATTTTTATGAAAACGTTTGCACCGCTTCTGTGGGACCACTGTATCTGTCAATAAAATTGCGAGACACTGGCTCCGTTTTAGGTTCGCTTTTAACACTGGAACGATGGTTGGATATACCAAATAGGAGTTTAGTATTTAGATTTGTTCACTGTAAAGGGAAAAAAGCAAACTGGTAAAAAATCTCTTTCAAACTGGATATTGTGAGACGTGCTCAAAATGCAAGATGTGAATATTTGCAAACTGGTACTGAAATGTTGTAAAATGCACTTTTTAGTTTTAGATATCTATTTTACAGAAGAGGAGAGTAAAAAATGTTCTGTGAAGCATTTAATTTAAAGCTGTGGTGACCATGTGTATCAGACGCTGTAAATTTGTAATTTCATTATTATTATTATTATTATGTTTTTATTTAGGTACAGCATGCGTTCTAAAATTGTGTTGTTCTTGTTGTTGCTGTTGGTGTCGTTTTATTTTTTATTTTATTTTGCAAGCATGCATGCTTTTGAAAAGTGTGTGCAAAACATTTGGGAAGAAAAATGGTCATCGAAATATTTTCTCATTAAAAGTGAAGTAAACAATCAAAATGTTTCTAAAAGTTTAATCCAAGAAATTATTATTGTTGTTATACATTCTATCAGAAACAAAAATTAACATTTGATAATAATAATAGCAATAATAATTATAACAACAATAATAATAATAATAACAATAATAATAATAATAATAATAATAATAATAATAATAATAATGTGTTATTTCTGAGTGTGGGAGAGCCACGAGCTTCATGTGAGCAGAACTGAATCGTTGGCTTCTCCATTAGGATGCAGGAAGCTGTGATGCTCCGCTTACAGCGCAGACAACAAGTCTCATTCATCAAGCTGAGCTGAATTAGGCCACAGAATAAACATCTAAATACACATGGTTTACAAATCATTATTGTGATTATTTTTACCCATTTATTCCAGAAAAAATGTCCCAATCAAATCCACGTTGGTTTCCTTGCAACCTGTGGGTGCAGCAGCTGCACCTGCGCGTTTCAGCTTTTTATTCAACAGGTTTAAAAATAGAACACACCACATCTGCAGGAACTGCGTTTAGAATGATCTGTTTATTTATGCATCCTCTCTAAAGAGAAAGGGAGAAAACAAAGCATCAGCCTCTTTTCGGAGCATTAAACAAATACATTAGAATTCCGTCACTTTATGCAATCCAGATCAAATAAAGGGGTCTCGGGCCACTTCATTCTCCCTCATTCTCTTGGATTGAAAGAGCAAAGAATGGTAAACTTCGACTGGGCCACCAATGTAGATTTAGGCCTTTTTTCAGCGAGACAAAACCAGATTTTTTTCACAAACACATTGCTGACTGGGGAACTAGGAAACGAGCTGCGAGCCCCTTTTGGAATTTAAATCCACCCCTCCCCCCTGGACTGTTTGTACAACACTGTTAGTTTATTTTCTTTTCTCCTTTTCTTTTTACAACCTCTCGTTTTTCTGCACTTGTGTTTGCAACATCAACTCTGGCTCCGGATGAGATCTTAAACCACACACTTAAAATATTAAACCAGAGAAAAGGTTAGATTGTTACAATAATACCAAATGAAGTAATAAAATTGTTTTTCTTGTCAAAGCTATTTTAAAACACCTTTTTATTTTTATTTTTTTCCAGGATTATTGAATTTGAAATAATTGATATATTGTTAAAATAAAAGTAAATGTAAATACAACATGCAAATGTCTAAAATAGTTTATGCAAATAAGAAATGAAATAAAGTTTACCAAAACATTTCATATGGTTAACAAAAATCAAATATTCAAAATCAGATGTTGCATTTTTAAAAAGCAACCTTTGATTTCAGCTTTTCATTTATGTTTAAATTTGTTAAAATAATAATGTTCTTGTTTTTTATTCATGTTTGTTTTCATATAATAATTTCTTGAATAAGTGGATTAAGCCCTTATTTTGGATACAGTTAAAAAAACAAAAACATAACTTTAATTATAGAAAAAAAATAAAAATACATTTACAAAAGAAATAAATCATAAATTTCCTGATATTTCAGATGTAAAAACAAGATTTAAATATTCCTTCTTAATAAAATTTAGTTCCCTTTGATTTTTAACCACTTTTTCCACCGTGATCTCAGTCATGCACTTCCAGTTGTGTACACCGTCAACCTGCACCGTCCTTGTTCTGGTAACTATGATCCACTTAGACAAAGAAGAAGGTCATCTCAGGCAGGAGGGGGGATGAAATATAGACCAAAGCAAAAGCCCTGTGTTGTAGTTTAATTAAAATAATTCATTAAAGTGGAAGCCCAAGGTAATTAGTATGTATAATTTATGATTTGCTTAATGCATGCAGGCGGTGGCCTCCGCAATAAACTCAACTTAACCTCCACGAGGATCTGCTCTGGACAGGGTGCCGTTATTTACTGTGTGTTTACTATTTGTCAACAGTAAGCAAATGTTTTCCAGCAAACCCTGGCTCCAGCTGAACACAAACAACTTCTTCTTTATGTGTTTACCTTGAAAATTTATGCTCACACAGGAGGAGATGCTGTCAGACGACAGGATTCGTCCTCGCTTCCTCTCTTTCTTCTCGGCCTTCAGAGCCAGCTGCATGTGGTCACTTTGGACCAGAAATAGTTTCTGCAGCGCCTTTGAGCTGACAGAATGAGGACGAGCACCGAGAGGTGTGAGCGGCTCATCGTCTCTTCCACTGCAGCTTGTCAGCACTGACATTTAGGTGTGTGTGTGTGTGTGTGTGTGTGTGTGTGAGCAAAATAATCAGGGATATAAACAAAACTTGCATTAATCATGCTCAGCAAAAATGTGCCAATCCCTGACAAGCGTCTGACATTTTTAAACGTGGCTAGTGGCTTTATTTTATCACTTCTCGCGAGTAGATTTTTGCTAAAACAACAAAGTAAAGCAAATATTTTCAGACGGAGATGCGGAGCACGGTAAACAGATTTATGTTAGTGGTAAACAGAGCAAACTCAGGGCTCTCTTGATGGCTGGAAGAAGAAAAATCAACTCGAGTTCCTTGTTTTTAGCCTCGCAATATTATCCAATCAGCATCATAACAGCAAATGCTTAAATCACCAGCGATCATCCCTGGGTTAAATGCATCACATAACAGTGGCTGAGGTCAAAGGTCAGGTACGGTGTGGGTAGCTTGGAGAGAGAGAGAGAGAGAGAGAGAGAGAGAGAGAGAGAGAGAGAGAGAGAGAGAGAGAGAGAGGGAGAGAGATGAGGAAGCGAAGGCCAGCTCAGCCAAACACCCATGTGTGCATGAAATTAGAGTGTCAACATCTGATTCATGCTTCTGGGTGGCGACTGTGAAACAAATTATGTCAGCGGGTGGCGGCGGCCAAATTCCATTGAGCTGCAGCAAACGGTGGCGACACCAAGTTATGGCAGGTCATAGATTCTGCTTTACACTGCCAGGTGAAACTTTTTGAAGCAGTAAATTTCACCCTGAGTTACAAAAAACGCAGAGAATATTTATTTCCCGCTCTGTCGTCGCGCTGCGGACACTAAAATTTTAAAGTGCTCTAATGGATGTTGTTGTCGTAAAGAGGATTTAGTCATTTTAGGACACAGAGTGATGATTGCTATTTAGTCTTTGTTTCCGGCAGGCTCAGCAGCACCAAAACCTTTTCTGTCTGATGTATATTTGTGCTGAAATCTTTATGTGGTTTTATTGTTTTGGAGGTTTGCAAAAATTTACTGCAAAGTAATTTGTAACCAAGTGGTTTCACCCTGGTAAGATTAAGGGTGCTGTATGCTGTTGTGGTGTAAAGAGCTGAGGGGCAATATTTGTGCTTTTGTTCATGTAAATAAAGTTAATTTGACTGCTAATAAAAGCCTTGTAACGTGGTTTTTAGAGTGTTAAAACAGCCATGTTGTCCCCTTCTTCAGCACATCACCTGATCTGTACTCACTGGAGTGTGTGTGTGTGTGTGTGTGTGTGTGTGTGTGTGTGTGTGTGTGTGCGTGTGCGTGTGTGCGTGTGTGTGTGTTTGTGTGTGTGTGTTTGTGTGTGTGTGTGCGCGCACGCGCGTGTGTGTGCGTGCGTGCATGCGTTTGTGCGTGCGTGTGTTTGTGTGTGCGTGCGTGTGTTTGTGTGTGTGTGTGTGCGTGTGTGTGTGCGTGTGTTTGTGTGTGTGTGTGTGTGCGTGCGTGTGTTTGTGTGTGTGTGTGTGTGTGTGTGTGTGTGTGTGTGTGTGTGTGTGTGTGTGTGTGTGTGTGTGCGTGTGTGTGTGTGTGTGTGTGTGTGAGAGAGAGAGAGAGAAAGTTGTGCAGGTTGAGACAAACATTCAACAGAGAACCATTCATCAGGTTTCAGACTCCAGTCCTGACATCTGTCCGTTCTTTAAATTCATTACTGTCATCTCACAGTTCAAATTGGCACATTTTAAACATTTTCTTATTTTAAATGACAATAACTGAATTATTTCATTAAATATTGCTTGATTTTGACCTGACGTGCCTGCGAAGGGTGTGTGCTGAGTGCTGAAGGTGTCTGTTCTGTCCCAGCATGCCTGTTTTTTGTTTTTTTAGCGCGGCGACTTTCAAACTGTTTCAGACATCATTTTGTTTTTGAAGCGAAACGCTTGAACAAATAATTGACTTTAATGAAGCTGCTTAAGCGTTTTGACACGCCAGTGTTTTTGCTTCTCGGGCGCTTTAGCTGTCAGGTGTGAGAACTTTAACGGAATCTGTAGATTCTAGCAGCCCTGCTATTTCCCCCTTTTAACTGTTAGAGGAAAAGCTAATTCATCACCTTCCCTGGGATCTTATCACACCCTCTCCAGCCATAAACTAACACTTACACAGGACTTCAAAGGTGCACCAGGTAGCAGAGGTGAGGGAAGGGCCCATATTCACTCGGGGTTGGAGGGGGGCTTCCAGAGATGGGATGACGCTGATTAGCAGGATTGTGCAGCAAAAGCCCTGTGGGGCAGCAGCTGGAGGAGAACTCCCCACGGGAGCAGGGGAGAGGTGTAAGATTTGACAGCTCCCGTCTCTTCCCCCTGGACACCACAGGGTCAGGGCACCCTCAGTGGGCCTGGGCTCCACGCTGCATAGGAAGTCAGCGATAATTGCCATTCAGCCGGTGGGACAAGAATAAAGAGACAACAATAAGCAGCGCAGAACACACAGCCCACTTCCTCTTTGTCTCCACATGTTTGAGGAGGGATGCTACCTCCTCTCAGACAGAACAAAGCTGCAATAAAGTTCTGACTACCAGATACGGTCTTGCAGATGCTGCAGACGAAGACGAGGGTGTTGTCGATGCTGCACTTGGAAGCACCAGAGAAGGCCCAGATGGCAGCTTGTTGCATAACAAGGTTGCTTTGTTTTGTTAATGTAACTCCATTTGCCTTTGATCCAATCTCATGTTGCCACGACCAGTGTGAAAATCCCTATTAAGTGCACGATCCAGCGCCACGCTCTTTGTGATCGTGATAATCTCCCGCATTGAAATTCCACTTTGTTCCTCTGTTTCTTTGTTAGTCAACACAATGTGAGGTTAATTAGCAGCCACTGGTAACCTCTACGTTCCTAGATGCTTCATCGCAGCTGAAGTGCACTCTTTACCGGGAAACAGGGCCGCTGGGTGCCAGCAAGACCAAAGACAAGGCTTCAAGCCAATCATCAAAGAGCAGAAAACAAACGCAGCTCTGAGTTAATCTCTTTCAGACAAGCAAAAAAAAAAAAAATCACCAACAGTAATCGTCTCTTAACAGCAATAATTAAGGGAGCCAGCGCATGAGCACTGAAGCACCCTTGCCACTGTTTTGTTTAACTTATCACATCTCCCACACAAATCACCCTAGAAACACGAAAATTCACTTTTTAGCTCGTCCCTCTGTCTGTCTCTCAGTGAGTACGTTTACATGCAGCAAATATCCGGGTTATGATCGGGTTAAGGTCAGTATTCGGGTTTCTGAGTTGATCAGAATAACCCGTTTACAAGCATAAATAGAAAGAGTTACCCCTAACTTGCATAACCCGATTTAAATGCGGACGTTGGGGTAGCGTCAGGATGTATGGACTACGCCCAGACGCAATGCGCGTCATTTCCGGTTCTTCTTGTTCCGGTATCCGTGAAAACAACATGTTTCCCAGTTCGGAAGAGATAGCGACCGCGCTTCTTTGCGCTTTAGTTTCTTCATCACTCCAAAAGTGTGGTGCTGTGCCGCGACTCGCCATTTTGCTCCCAACTTGTTGTTTACTTCCGGAGTTCTGGCGCATACAAGACGTCTCGCTACTCAAAAGACCGAGATTCCTTGCGAACAGAGCATGCGCAGAACACACGCTTTGATGGGGATATCCCGATATGCGTTTACACGACCAAACATTCAGGTTAGAAAAGGGTTACCCCAGGTGTAGTAACCGGGTTTTTAAAACCCCGGTTATGAGCATATCCGGGGTTTTGGCAGTGTTTACAAGGACCTGCGGAACCGGGTTATTGGGAATATTCGGGTTTTAAAAGGGTTACTGGCTGCATGCAAACGCACTCAGTTTGCAATCAGAGAGCACGTGTTGAGCCATGCGAATACTCGAGCTAATACTTTAACCGGAGCCTTATCCTATTTTACATGTATTTTAGAAAATCTATTTATTGAATGAAGTGCGTTTGACAAAGTAGGTGGCGACATTCGCCTTTTCATGTTTTGCATTCTTCCGGGTAGCTTATAGCAGCACAGATAGTAAACACTCGCTAGCGGGAAGGAAAGAAATCAGAGTAAATACAGGATACGCATAATGGCCAAAG